TATATAATAATGTTATAATTTATTTGCATATTTCAACATATTTTTTTATTTGTAATTACAATTAATATATTTTTTTACATCATTTACATTAAGAATATAAAAAACAAATTATGGATATATATAAATTTATTAATAATTAATTTAATCTTTTAATATTCTATGAATAAATATGGTGAATATCCATATTTATTTAAATAATTTCTTAAAAATATATATTAACTACGCTGATGATTAATTTAAAAACAATACTTAAATTTTAAAAATATAAATAAAAATATTGCTTAAAAATTTAAAATATTATATTATAAAGTGTTATTTAATATAAAATAAAATAGAAACTTCTTTATTATACATAAAATAATTAATAATATAATTTTTAATTTTAAAATTATAAATTTTTCTCAAATAATAAGAATAATTATAAAAGTCAATATTATTGAAATTAATGAGAAATTTTCGATTTTAAATATATAAAAATAAAGTATATTTATAATTTTAAGCTTAAAAAAAATTATAAAGAATTATCTTCTGAAAAAAAAATATAAATTAAAATATTATTATTGTAATTTTCAATGATGAATATATATTTTAATTTGAAAATAAATAAATTTAAAAATTTAGTATATCGAAATAAAAACATAACTAATAGTAAAATATAAATTGCATAAATTTTTTAATTATGACTTGTTGTACTGTATTTTATAAGAAAGGAAATTTGGATTTATTCTAAATAATATATTAAAAATGATTAATTAATTTCTTTTAATATATTTAGTAATTATATAAAAAATAAATACAATTTAAAATCGTAATTTTAGCTTTTAAATTAAATAATAATTAATTAGTATAAGAAAAAATACACAAAATTTTAGAAATGAAAACTTAATTATAAAGTATTAAGAATATTTATTAATTTATATAATATAAAAAAATGGTTTAAAAATAATAAGAAAACAAAACAATTTAAACATTTATATATATTACAAACATTAGAATAAAAAATATTTTAAAATCATTAAATTTATAATTATATATGTAAAATAATTTTTATTAAAAATTAATAAAATATATAATAATATAATTATTACAAAATATATAGTAATTTTTTAATAAATATAAATATTTAATTTATATATTTTCATAAAATAATATTTAAATTTTTATATATATTTTATATATTTTTAGTATTTTAGATTTCGTTTAATATTTTTTAAAAATATATTGTAGATTTTTTTATTTTATTTTTTAATTTAGAATTTTTTTATTCTTATTTTTTAATATTACTCTTATATTATTAATGAAAAATGTTCTAAATAATATTTTTATATAAATATTAAAAAAGAATAGATATTAAAGTTTTAAAAGTATTTAATATATATTTTATTATAACAAACACAAATTAATATTATTACATAAATCTAAAAATCTAAAAAGCTTTTTTCTCTATATAAATTAAAAATATACATACGATTTCTTCAATTTATTTATAATATCATAAATAAAAATATTTAATAAATATATATAAATTCCTATACTGAGTATTAATTATTCTATACTATTTTTTTATATCCACTTTTTTAAATATTGCATTTTTATATAATAATATTAAATATATGATAAATTTATTTTATAATTTAAATAAATATATAAAAACAAACCTTTAATTTTAGTTTTTGTAAATAAACATAATAATTAATATAAAAAGGTAAAATAAACAAAAGAAAATAATTTAATAAAACATTATTACAATTTATATTTGACAATAATTAAAAAAATATTGCAAAAAATATTAAAATAAAAAAAGAAAAAAATTATTTAATAATAAAATATTTTATTATAAACTAAAACTAAAAAATGAGCAAATTCTTTAGTAGTCTTATTTAAACATTTAAAGCCAAAATAAAAGACGAAAATAATATAAATTAAATATTAAAAAGCTCTTGTTTTTCCAAAGATAACTTTGACGAAATAATAAACGAAGACTGCTTGAAAATCTAAGAATGTTTAATTAAATAGTATAATTTTTAAGAATCCTAAAGCCCAAACACATAAACTTAATTTTTTATATATTTATAATAAAATTAGATCCAGTTTTGTTTATCATAAAGGTTAAAATTTTTATACTTAATTCACGTATTAATCCAAAAGAATGGCTAACGTTTTGCGGAATAATTTTTCGAAAGTAAACTAAATTATTTACGTGGACATGTAATGAAATGCGAAACAAAATAATAATTTGGAGATAACTGCATGATATATAATTTTTCTGATTTGCAAAAATGGTTAGATGATAATTTAATAAAATTTTATTATGATTATTTGATGAAATTATCCAATAATTTAGATTTATATAATATTTGTATAGGAAATTAAGACAATGATTTATATTCAATAATGAATTTACGTATAATAATATTATTTAAAGTGAACAATTTATTAAACTTTCTAATAAAACTCCATAAATAATTTTAAATTATTTTTACAAAATTTAGCTTTTTATCTATAATTAAAAATATTGCCTTTTAAGTTCTAAAAGACTGTATTACATATTATAATTTTATGCATAATCAAATAATGGATATAGTTAAATGCTATGAATAAATTTCTGATTAAGATAAAATGTAATTTTATGAACTTTTCATTGAATTAATCAAATTAAATTCACAACTACATGAATTTGGAAAGCTTAGAAAAATAATAGATCAATGTTAATAAATAGATTAACTTTAAATTCTTAATATAAGCAAATAAAGAGCAAGACAAATCGACTTGAATTAAAGGAAACTTATCCTTTAAAATGAATAATTATAAAAACAAAGAAAAGTTAAACTTAAATAATAATAATCTTCTAATAAAAATAATTTTAATAAAAATACTAAAATAAACAGTGGAAGTATGACTACAAGGTAATCCTCACTCAAACCTTATGAACAAATAAGCGAAGCAACAAACGATGATGATGAAGAAGAAATAGAATATAAAAACAATAAAAATTAAAATAAAAGAAAAACGTTTATTTTTTCAAATGATAACAGTCCTTCTTAAAAGTTTTAAAATTTAGATATGATGTTTTCAAAGTAAGAAAAAACAATTAAATTGATAATTAGAATGGACCTTTTACTGATAGAGGTGTTTATATTTAATTTAATAAAGATTAAGATGAAGAAAAAAGTGATTCTACTAAAGATACTAAAAAAAGTAATGAATAAATTAATAATTTTAAACCTAATTAATGATTATTAGAATTTCTTGTAAAAATTGAATGAATTTTTTAGTATATATTCAATTTTTTTTTATTTTATTTTTTTTGTTAAAAAAAAAATAATATTAAAAATTATGTATAAATATTTTTTTTAGTTATTCAGATAAATTTTTATTTTTTATTTTTTTTCTTATTGTTTGAATAACTATTTTATTTCTGAAATATCATTTATTTAATTATTAGTAATATTATATATTTTCTATATATTTCTTAGTTTCCAAAAGTTATATTAATTTTTACTTATTTTTTTCATTTTATTTTAATTACAAATAAAGAAATATGTTTAAATTTATTTTTGTAAATAAATATGGTAAAACATAGATTATATATATTCCATTATTCTTTTTTTCATACTTTCAAAATAATAGAAGGTTTTGAGGGAAGAAGTAATCAAAAAAAAAAAAAAAAAAATTAATGTGAGTAAAAAATTAATTTGTAATTAAAGGTGAGGAGGAGTATTATAAAATTAAAAATCAAATATAGACTTTTTTTGTTAATTTTTTATAGATATTGGTATACACACACTAAATAAATAAAATTATTAAAATTAAAGAAAAGGGGGGGAAGGGGGGGGAATGAAAAATAGAGGTAGTTCAATACAAAATATAAATAAAAAGCAAACATTTGAAACAAATTTTTAAAGGAAAATAATAATAATTTAAATTATTTTTAAAATATAAAATAATAATTGTTTTTAAAATCTAAAATAATAATAAATTTATAAAAAAGCTTATTTATGAAAATAGTTAGTTATTAAATAACTATTTATTCGAAACAAAAAAATAAAATTTAAATTTATAAAAAGGAAAAATAAAAAAGAAATATTAAAAAACCAATCTATATATTTTTAAAAAATTTCAAGCAATAAAAAAAATAACTTTAATTTTCAACAATTTTAATTTCAATTTTAAGCATTATATAAATAAAAAATAATTACATTTTTAAATTAAAATAATATAAAAAGTTTCAATAAAAACAAAAAAAATGTATTAACAATAACATAATTTAAAAAAGATAGTTTTACCAAAAACTCATCCCCATCGTCATTATTTAATTAATTTTCCAAAAAGAATAACCCAATAGAGACTCCATTATCATAAAAAGAAATATTAGCAAACAACTAAAATATAATGAATTACCAGCAAAACTAATCTCAGCAATATTATAATAATACTTTATAAAATCGTTTAGAATTAATTGAAAGTAATTTAGCAAGAGTGTGTAACTAACATGAAGCCTTAATGCCTTTATTATCTTTATTAGAAATAGTTCCAAGAATAAACAATAGCGAAAATAATTTAAAGTAAATAACATAAAGGTTATGCGAATAAGAATAAACATTTGAAAAAATAGCTTCTTAAATAAATTTTAATAAAAACTAACATGTAATTATATAAATAGAAAGAAATTTTAAGAATACTACATAATAAGTAAAAATTTAAACACTTTACATATTATAAATAAAAAAAAGCTTAATTAAATAAAAACTGAAATGACAGAAATATAAAATAACTTAAAAACCAATACAAAAGTTGCCGAAGCTAAATTAAGAGAAGAAGCTTAAAATGTATATAAAAACGTTGAAAATAAAATTGACAGAAATAAAAAAGATATTTCAAATCTCCTTTCAGATTTCAAAAATTAAATTTAATAATCTGTTAAAAAATAAGAAGAAAAGTAATTACATTCTAAAAATAATGCACATGAAAGTAAGTAACAACATGAATTATAAGAAAAAGTATTTCTTAATAAAAAAACAAAAAAAATTAATTTTGTTTTTTTATATATTTATATATATATATATAAATAGGTTAATCATTATATGGATAAAGTCTAAATCTAATATTAAAAAGACATGACTAATTTATATCGAGAAATAGGAATGATAAGAAATGAAATCGAACTTGCCTATGATAAAGAGAGAAGAAGTAATATATTTGAATAAATAAATTAATTTCCTAAAGACTTGGATTAGAATGATAAAAAGCTTTCAATTGCAAATTTAGAATAAAATGTTTTTTTTTCTGATATAGAATATTTTGACAAGGAAAATTAAGAAAGGCTTATATACGAATTAGATTGTCTAAAATATAAAGTATAATTTTTTATATAAATAAAATAAACAAAATATAAAAAAAGATTGAATAAATAAGCCATATTATTATGAATGGAAACAATAATGAAGAATTAAAAAGTGAAATTATATATTTAGAAGACAGAATTTTTAGTTTAAAAAACTAAATACATGGAACGAAAAAGAAATATCTAATTGATGTTAAAAAAATCGAAGATAGACTTGAAAAAATTCTTATTATGAAAGATTAAGCAATATTAAGAAAATCAAAAACAGATAAACCTTATTAAGAAGTTATGTAACAAAACTTTGTAGAAATAGATAATTATTCAAAAAGAATTGAGATTTTAAATAATTCTATTAATGTTAATGTTGAATAACTGTAAGCTAGGCAAAGTGAAATTGATGAAAAGCTTTAACTTTTAAAGACTTTAAGAGATTGATTTTTTTTTAATTTATATATATTTTATTATATTTATTAAAACAAAGAAAAAAAAAAAAAAACTATATATTAACTTTTTATTTAATAAAAAATTTTGTTGATAAATAATTAATTTTTTATTATTTCAAATTTAATTTATTTTATATTTAAATAATTTTATTATTTATGCTTTTTTAACGTTATGCGTAAATTTATCTTAAATGATTAAAATTTAAAGCTAAAATGAAAACTTTTTAGAGATTCTCCCCCCCTCTAAATGCATTTCAATATATAAATAGATAATTCTATGGTTAGAGAACCGAATTGTATTTATTATTTTAATAATTTTAAATTTTTTTAAAAACAAAATATAATCCCATTAATACATTATAAATAAATAATATATATGAAATTAATTTTATTTATGCTAACTATTTTATATATCTATCTTATTGCATTTTTTTGTTTAATATCAAATGTCCATAATATATTTAATTATCTAGTGTATATTTATTATTAGTAGAAAACATATAACTTTATTTTTTTTAAATAAATTAATTCAATCAATATATTTAATGCTATCTTTATAAATACTTATTAAATAAAAAGTTTGCATTTATAAACTATAAAAAAAAAATATTTTTTATAATTAATATATTATAAGCCCTAAAATTATTCTAATCCGTTTTTATTAATAATAAAAATCACCAATATAAAACAATATTTTCCATTTTATATTTTTTTATTATAATAAAAGTGGACATATAAAAATTAAAGGATTTTTAAATACAAATATTTTTTTTTTTTAATTTACAAATAAAACTAAAAAAAAAAAAAAAAAAACAAAAACAAAATACTCTCACAAATAATTATCTGGAGTATTTCCAACAAAATAAGGAGCTCCCCAATTTTCTCTATAAACTTTTTATCCGGTTTCTTCACAAATATCTTTTGGAGTTTTATTTTGAGTAATCATTTTGAAATAAGCCATAATCATACTATATGGATTAATTTTTTTGCTTACAGTTTGAAATCTACAATGTCTAAATCCTGTAAGCAAAAGCATAGAAGCAATAATTGGACTTCCCCAAGGATTGAAAGTTCTTGCAGGAGTAACAGTAATTTCAAATCTATTATATTATCCATAAAGTTATCTAGGAACAGTATGATATAAATCCAAAGGAATTGCAATAAGATTTCTTTTACAATGTAAAATAGCATTATCTAGAGCCTCTTCAAAATCACTTCCTTTACCTTTTCCATATCCAACTAAACCATTTCCATTTCCCATAAAAATCAGATATCTGTAAGATTAAATTCTTTATAAAGTTGTCACTTTTGTAGTTAAACCTCTACTAAGTAATATAATCATGAAATCTTCATTTAAACTTAACCTCAATTCTTCTTATTTATAACCTATATTTTCATTTCCAGCCAATTCAACTTATTCTAATTCTTCATCTTAGTCATAATGCTTTTCATCATCATCTTCTTACAAATTCTAATCGATTTCCTCATCATCTCCATCTATCTTTTTGATTTTATTTATTTAAAAATATGCATATATATATATATATATATATATATATATATATATATATATATATATTTACTTAATCAATTGGTTTATTTAAATTCTTTAATTTTCTGTTTCTAAATTCTTCAATCATATCTATTTCTTCTTATCTTTATTATTTATTTATTTTTAGGTTTTAAAAAAAAAATATTTAGTTTAAAAAACCTTAATTAATTTGATTTAGCGAATTCGCTATTTTCTCTTGTATAATGTGACAAATCTAATATATGTGGATATTGCTTATGTTTATCTTAATAACCTTTCAAAAATTTATTGAATTCTTCATCATATTTTGATGTAGTATCAATTGTTTCCTTAAATTTGCCGTCTTTTATTTGATCAGTTAAAAAGCTTTAAAGTTTTAATTTTTCTTATACTGTTTACTTTATTCTCATTTTATCGGATATTTTATTCATTGTATTTTAAACAGACCTTAATCTTGAAAATTTATAAAATATTCTAATATTCATTCTTATTCTTCAACCTTTTTTTTTTTTTTATTTTGCTTATTTTATATAATTTATATAAAAAATCTTGTTTATTTGTTATTATTTTTATTTATATATATATAAGTATATACTTATATATTAAAAAATATTTAGTTTTTATTAATTTTAATATTAATAAAAATACATAATTAAAAATAAAAAATGCATAAATATAATTTTCTCTTTTAAAAAATAATTTTTTTATTTTAATTCAATATTTTTTGTAAAGCTCAAGTATTTAATTTTCTAAATTACCATCATCATTAGTAATAAATTCAAATTATTATTATTCTTATATGTAAAGGTTTTTTACATGTTCAAATCTTTCTCTTTTTTCATTTTGCAATTGTTTTAACAATTTAAGTACAACCTTAATATTTAATAAAAAATAATGTATATATATATAAATATTAATAAATATAAATAAAATTATTTATAATTATATTTATATATATATATTTATATATCTATATATATATTTTTATATTATATTTTACCTATTCTTATAATTCTGAAGCTTAAACCTAATTTTTTAAATGAGATTTAATAGTATTTTTTAACATATCAATTCGAGATTGATAAATATTATTTAAATTACAAAAATGATTTATAGTTTATTAATCTTTTAACCTTTTTTACATATTAAAATCATTTTTTTCATCAATAATTTTTCTTTTTTCTAATTCATAAATAATTTTATGTCTATTTTTTTATATTTTTTTATTATATTTAAAAAAAAAAATTACATTTTATTCAAATATTAAATTTTTTAATCCTTAATATGTTCATACATTTATTATTACTATAAATTTTCTAGTTATTATTATTATTATTTCTTATTTTTTGGTATTATTTTTTAATTTTAATTACTAAATTATTCGTTTCCATTTTATATGTTATCCAAGTTATATTTCTATAATAAATTTTGAAATTCTATATATCTTTCGTCATTTTAATCAATATTATTTTCAATTAAAAATGTATGCAATTCTTTTATCCTTTAAATATCTTATTTTTATTCTTCAGTTAATTCTTATTCATCTAAATATTTTTTGTTTAATAATTTTATATTTTTTATATATACCTAATTCTTATACACTTTCATCTTCTTATTTAATATAATTTTCTTATTAAATTTATTATTATTAAGTCTTTTTTAATTTATTCTTATTTTTTAATAAAGGATTAGTAGTAATAAACCTTTAATTTTGATTTGGAAAAAGTTATTTTTCAATTAATTTTTTTTATAGACCTTTTTAGAAATGAGTATCTTCAATCAAATTTTTTTAACTTTTAGTTTTTTGAAGTTTTTTAATTTATTATTAGCCTTATTAAAATTACTATTATTACTAAGAACTTTCTTGTAAATATTATTCTTCTTCCTACTTAGGCTATATATTTTACTAGGGGCGCTTATTTTTTTTACTTTTAACCTTCCTGTTTCCATGTTCATCATATTCACTTGATTCTTATGATAATTCGCTTATATGTTCATTATTTTATTATGGGATTTATTATTATTATTCGTCTTCTGGGTCCTAAACTAAATTTTCTGCTTCACTTAATCTTTCTTCTTTTTAACTAACTAATAAAATTGTAAAAATTAAAAAAAAATATGTATATAAATTTATTTATATAATTATATATATATATTTATATAAATATATATATATATATATTATTCTTTTAATATAATTACTTTAGTTTTCATCTTCTCCTTCAGGTTATTTCATTTTATATAATTTAGATAATTCCACTATTATTTATAAAAAATTTAATAAATGTCTTGAATCTTGTTCAGAAATAGTTTATCCTTTTATATGAGTTAGATCCATATTTAATACATCTTATGATAAAACATCTATTAAACTTTAAAGCTTCTAACCTGATGTAGTCTTTGAATTTTCAATTTATATTATTTTTTATGCTATAAATGGAAACATTATTTTAAACATTTCTATATATATTTTTTCATTGTAAAATTCGCCTATATCTTCTATTTGTATTTCTAGCTCTATGTTATTTACTATTTCTTCAAAATTTGTTACTATGTTTTCAATGTCTTTATCTATCATTTATACACTATCTTAATCCATTTTTTTTTAATGTTTAAATATTTTTTATTTTTTTTTAAATATTAATTTATATTATAAATTCAAAAAATTATTTAATTTAAACATTAAATAAAGTATTTTTTTGATTATTATTTTTATATTTAATTAATTTTTTTATTAATTATTCATAAATTTTATTATTTTTTTAATTTAAATATAAATTTTTCTTATAGATTATAGTTTTTATTTTTTAGTTCTAATTTTTTATTTATTCAATGAAATTAGTATAATACATTATATAATTTTATTAAAAATAATAAAATATATATTGCTTAATATAAATATTTTATAATTAATATTTAAATGTTTTTTTTAATTATTATTTTTTATTTCAATTAATTTTAAAAGTAAATGATTATATTTAATATATTTTTAATATTATAATAAATTTTTTTTATTTTATAAAGAAATGAAGAAATTTAGAATATAATATCGTTACTATTTAAATTAATTTCTAAATATATTAAAAGTATATAATTTTTAGAAACAATTAATGAAAAAATATTAAATTCAAATATTTATATTATAAGTTTATATTATATATATATTATTTATATAATATTTTAAAATATTTATAAATATTATATATATTATTATTACATCCAAAAAGAAAAAATATATATACTAAAAAAAACATTAAACATTTTAATTAAGTCTTATTTTTAAATAATATCTTCTGGAATATATTTTATGCGATAAAAAACATATTCTAAATTACTTTAAAAAATAATAAATTTTTTTTAGTTAAAATAAAAAATTATTTTATCAAATACTATAAAAGTTAATATATATATTATTAAACTTAATTAATGCATGTTAAATACTGGCTATTATAATTTAGAAAAAATATTATATAAAAAGAATATTTATTAGTAAATAAATTATAAAAGGAAATATATATAAGTTAAATTACTAATTAAAAGTATGACTCATCTAGCAAATTTCAAACCAATTTATTCATAATTTTCTTTACTAAAATTTAGCTCCTGTTAATATTAAGCTAAATTTTTTTGTTTAAACTTACCAAAGCTGTCAAACTTTGTTAATTTTAAACTTTAATTATTTTTTGCATATGAAATATAAAATTATTGATTATAAATATCGGATTTGCCTTTAAATTTTTTTTTTTTTTTAATCCTCTAAAAATATATACATATGTAAGTTATTTCAATTTTCTAATATAACTATCGAAGTCAATAAAATATACTAGTAATTTTTAAATATGGCAAAAGAAA